ATGACTTCAATGCGTCGCAAGCGTCGGCATCGTATGTCGGATCGTGACACGGGGAGCCAATTGGGACAGTGGCTACGAGCTTCCCGTTCACGGTCGAGTTCAGTGTCGACCACGCGTTATCGGATGGCCAGTCGGCATCGCTTGGCAGACGGTAACAATCCTGGGCGCTTCCAAAGCGAGCAAGGAGTAGGGCTCCAAAGAGCGCAGCGTTGTCGATGAGCCTCATCTTGTCTTGAAAGTGCTTGATGGCAGTGATGAATACCAAGAGCCTTGTCCCGACCCTCATATATAGCCATTGTTCCCCTTACTATCGTTTTCGCATTGCCACATGCTATTCTTCTCATCTCGGAGACCATCTCAAAGAAGAAGACTTAGAATATGTCTGCTTCCTCTGTAGGTTACAACGCCGACAGAGTCCACTTGAGACATTGTGCCACATGCCGATATCAATGCAAGGAATAGCCATGCACTGGGCTGGAAGCCGGCGAAAACCTCGTGCGGGAATCGATGGCCGCACGCGAGAATGACTTACTGCAGGGCAGAGTGGGCCAACCGATGAATGGGGGATTCGCCGGGTGGCCTAACGCTTGGGGGTGGACCCTCAACGACGGATTGCTCGCTAGGATTGAGCTTCATGAAACCGTGGGATTCGTCCTCAGGCGACACAGTGTGGCGCCAGGAACCGGCGGGCGTGCAGATCTTGGCGGGCATTCGTCGTCTTGGAACGTTCGGAGGGAACCTCATTTCGGCAGCCGTGCAGCGAACGAGATGTCTAGGTGCGCACTGAGCAGCTGTTATCGCTCCACGTGCTCGCCCGCCTCCAGACCTCTGCCATTGCGCCATGCTCATCATCGCCCTTTCTGTCACATATTCGAAAGTCTAAAATTATCCTCCGTTGGTCATGGATGGTGGACGTTGTCGTTCAGGTTTTACCGTGGTTTTCGGTTGGCGTTTGTGGCGTTCGCAAGCCCATGACACCTGGGCACACCGGACCGCACCCCACATTGCGCTGCACCGGCCTGAACAAGGCAAGACCCCTTTCTGGATGACATGCCGCCATCTCTGAAGGATGCTAGGTTCCGACCGTATATGCGCCAGCACTTCTTAACAAAGTTTGCGCTATTGGAATGCCATGGTCGGGTAGGCTTCTGCAGTCGGCACTTCATACCAATGACGGCAGCCACCATGGTAGCTACGACTCGTGGGTTTCAGTCCTGGGCCTTACAAGAGACGCACTATAAACCGCACGAGGGATCCCTGCGTTCATCATATTCGAGGATCACCTTCCGTTTAGAGGCGGAAGATAAATGGTGGAACCTGTCCCGCTGTCGCTTTACTTGAGACCTCCGCGATATCCTACGCACCCGTTACAAACTCGGGGGTCCGCCCATCTGTCTTCAACATTCGGATTGTCTTGCGCAAACGTGGCGTGAGAGCATCGACATGGCCTCTTTCATTCGCACATGCATGCTGTTGTGGCTCGTTACCATCTCCATGGTACATGCAGCACAGCAGCCAGCCCTGTCAAAGCTTCCCGCATGTGCTGTAAGTACCTTGCAGCCCAACTTCTTAACATTTCGCTCACCCTTGCAGCAACTGTGCCTCTTGAACGCTTTCAGTACGAACACCTGTTCTCCAACAGATCAAGCATGTATTTGCACGAACGATGTCTTCCAAAACAACGTAACGCTGTGTGTGAGCGCCAGCTGCACCATCCCTGAAGCTCTAGGTACTTGCACCTATCCCGACGGAAGAGAAAAAGAGGCTGACGAACATGAAGTTACGCGCAACATCAGCCTGACCACCTGCGGAGCCCCGGTACGGGATCGCGGACAAAGCTATGTGCTGTTGTCAAACGTCATGGTATGCATAGCTGCAGCCTTCGTTGCGATGCGTTTCACCTTCAAGGGCACCGTGTCGAGGATGGACTTTGGCTACGACGACTGGTGCGTGCTGGCGACACTCATAGCCGCTATACCCAGTGCCGTCATCACTGTTTTTGGCACTGTGAAGAATGGACTTGGCCAAGATCTCTGGACCCTGACACCGACGGAGATCACTCAGATGCTGCAATATTTCTACATCATGGCCTGGCTCTACTTCACGCAGCTTATGCTGTTGAAACTCACGCTACTGTTCTTCTACATCCGCGTGTTCCCCAGCAAAGGCGTTCAACGACTACTATGGGGTACAATCGTCTTCACCATACTCTGGGGTGTCGCCTTCATCATCGTCGCGATATTTCAATGCCAGCCCATCCAGTACTTCTGGACAAAATGGGATGGCATGCACGAAGGTACTTGTCTCGAAATCAACGCCATCACTGCATCGAACGCGGCCATATCCATCGCCTTGGACTTCTGGATCCTGGGTGTACCTCTTTGGCAGCTTTGGGGCTTGAAGCTACACTGGAAGAAGAAGGTCGGTGTAGCGCTTATGTTCTGCGTTGGTACCTTCGTCACCGTCGTCAGCATCCTGCGTTTACAAGCCTTGGTTCACTTTGCCGCTTCCTCGAACGTGAGCTGGGAGTTTTACGACGTCTCGATGTGGAGCACGATTGAAATCTGTGTCGGCATCATGTGGTAAGCTCTATACTCGTACTCATATATCGCATCCATTAACGTTCCTACCAGCGCCTGCCTCCCGACCCTCCGTCTTCTCCTGGTCAGACTCTTCCCCATTCTGGGCGGCTCATCGGCACGCAGCCGTCAATACTACAACTACGGCAGCAACAACGAACTCAGGAACGTCAGTCAAAAGCACAAGTCGTACAACTTGAACACGGCTATATCGAGCCCTCGTTCAGAGTCGTTCGATACGAAAGTGGAAGACGGCATCAGAGTCAAGACATCATATCACGTGAAACACAGCCATAGTCAAGGAGACACAGATGAGGCTAGCTTGGTTAGCTATGAGGGAAAGCGGAGGCCATAGTTTTGCATCCGATATAGTAATGATCATGAGTATTTCGTACTACCTCACATTCCCCGCATGAACACATGTTACCTAGGTACTTTGACGACTGCGTCTACCGGTGCTGAAACCTATTCGAGACGAACTTTACCTTCAAACAGCCACTTGCCAAACGTAACTTTCCAGACGCGTGGTAACTGCCGTGATCGACAGGTGCTGAAGCACCCACCTCTCGCGATTTCGGTTGACCCATCAAAGGGTAACGCAGATCACCGGAGTATCACCGACATCCTCGTGGAAGATCGCACTAGTTCCACGTGTCGGCGATCTCTGTACGCGATTGCGACAAGGTCTAAACAGCGAACGGTCGGTGGCCTTATTCATTGCACAATCTAAGTATTACGATAATTTCCATCACGGCGACAGGTTCCGCAGATGGCGTCTCTCAGGCATCCCTTCAAGTGCTGCCGCCCCCACAACACGAATCATCCCGTATCCGCAATGATGGCAAACCCGGCCGAGCTGCGACGAGCTTTCGCGGTGGAATAAGACCGACGAGGCGTAAGTCTGCGATAGTTTGTGGTACGGCAGAGCTACGGGTCCGATGTGGGCCCGATCTCTGGGTACCTAGGTAGCCGATTGTCGGCTGTGCGCAGATGGAGGCTGTTAGCAACGAGTACTTACTGCTAGCGATGGCACTTGTCTTCTGGAAGAAAGACTAGTTGAGGAGAGGATTACTCGAATTTAGCCTGGTTCATTTTCAACGTACACCACCGTATCGGCCGACTTACCAAGTTTTGTGGCTGATGGCACGTGCCCTGGAATTACGTTGCAGTGGCTGAAGTGGCCTTGGTGATGTCGCATTCAACGAGCAAGGCGCTTGCCGACGTTGCGCTCACAATTTCAGATCGAACGAAGACTTTGCGCTGCGAAAGCTGGAAACACGGAGATGCAAAACCCGGTCTCTGGCGTACGTAGTGCCGGATGAGAATGTCGTCATCAACGTCGCAGCGGTGATTATGCAATGCATTGCGTCTTTGAATAACGCCGAAAGTTTGCGCGCACGCATGCATGTCCTCAACTCGCACATCTAGCAATTGCGACTTGTCACGATGTGTCGGGCGATCAAGTGTGATAGCCTCACGCGTAGGTCCAACTCATCTGCACTACCTAGGTAAGTGTCTGGAGTAACACGTTTCACGTGTCAACCAAACTTCATAACGCAGCTAAAGAACTTACAGGGAACTGCCGAAAGCATGTATCGCATGTCGGTATTACAGGGAGCCTAGAAGGAAGATCTTATCGGCTCCTACTTAGTGCGGCTCCCGCTTTCACATGACCTCGGGATTAAGAAATTGACTTTTACGTCTGCGCCTCAACGCAGATCTCACAGTATACGAATGCGACATGCTAGCAAAATCCTCAAAACTGAGGGCATACTGTTATTTGCAAATGCTGAATATCGACCCAGCAGCGCATGTTAGCCGTGCCGGCAAATGCCTTATAATCCAGTTCACAGAGACCGGGGATGACGTAGAAAGAGTGAGTATAACGATCAATAGCATTGTGCAACATTATGGATTTTAGGTTGAGGCTTCCGGGAGGGATGATGGAAACAGATCTTTCATAAAGCCGAACAGAAGAGTGATCTAAGGGAGGCAACGGGGCTTGCGCAATGCTAATGTTGTCAGTATGACATCGCTGTCGTCTCGACCCAGCTGCTGTGCTTCTGCATTTGGTACCAAGTCGTCGCAATCTTTGTGGCAAGAGAACTGCTGATTAGAGTAGATTATTATCATCATCATATTATTACTGGATGAATATGATATATTATCTGGTTCCAGTGGACGGGATGAGGCTGCACTCACCTCAGCTTTATCGGACGGCCTTGTGCAGCTTTTGCAGCTTCTGCATCGCACCTTGACCGTATCTATCACAACCCAGGGCTTCATTCATGTGGCTCAGTGCTGCTCTCAATTCAAACCTTTCAAATTACAAGACGCTCACCTTCAATAACATGGCTCCGTTGCGCACGCCTGCACGGCACCAAATGTCACCTACTACTGGTTCTTCTCTCGCCCTCCGCCATGGGGTGCAGTCCACTCGTCCAACAGCCATCGCTCACGAGCTTGTAACTATACATTGCGAGACCAGCTCCCATCAATAGTGCTGATGTCTCACAGAACAAAACCTTCGCGGACATTCGCGCCACTGCCGTACTCTACGATGAGCATCTTTCGAAGATGCAAGTCCAGATCCGTACTCTCGCAACTGAACGTACTGGGATCTTGTATGACAAGGACGCAGCGATCACAGGGCTGAAGCGCGAAGTCCACGAACTACAAGCCCAGAAGACAGCTCTCTCGCGCAATTTGCTTGAAGAGAGTAGCAATATGAAACTGGCGGTGGCGTGCGGTGAGGATCTTGCAAAACAGCTTGGAGTTCAAGGCAAGGAGGTTGTGACGCTCAAGGATAGGGTCACCGAGCTCGAGAGTGAATTAGCTAAAGAGAAAGCCAAATACATCGCAGAAAGAGGCGCGAACGAGAAATTACGCAGCATCAGCGAGAAGTGCGCCGAGATTGCAAGACTTGTGGGGGGTCATCAGTAGGTGAGAGGAGTTCTACTTGTGCAACTGGCTAGATAGACAAAAGCGAGATGCGAATTGCAGATCCAGATGCTGAGTACAAGGGTACGTCTGCAGATAGAGATCACGATCTTATACAGAGTAGTCGGTGTATAGCTTGAACTTCCAATCTCACCTTCACTTTTGCCTCCGCCATCATACCGCCATTGCAGACCCCGTCCACTCTGTTTGCAGCATCTCAACCTAACTTCTACCTTCCACTAGAGCTGCAGCCTAAACATGATCTCTCGTACCTCGTCTCCCGACAATATCGCAACCTCCCAAAAAAAATGTCGAATAAACGCTCGCTCTCGTATGCGCAATGGTAACGACAAGACAAAACAATCGCGGTCGCAATCCATCGTTTCGAGAGCTTTTCCCCCGTCGCGACATCCGCCCACGTACGCCGACGAGCACTGTGAGTGAACGTAACGAAGACATTCACGAATCATACTGATAAGCCACAAGCCGCGCTCTACAGCACACGCTGCCGCAGCGAGATCGTCCCTCACCGCGTTGATCAAAGATCTAAGAGCACAGGAGCGACAGGTTCTCAGTCTAAGCAGCGCGCTCGATAAAGAGCGGTTGGAGCATGAGAAGCATGTTGAAGACCTAGAAACAACTCACGCGAAAGAGCTCGCGACCGTCAATGAACATCACGATCGCCAACTTGCGCAGATCGAAGTGCGTCACAGCGAAGAGCTCACGCGCGTCAAGTTGTGGTGTGTGATGAACCAACCAAGGCCAAACGAATTATCACGGATTCGCGAAAGACAGCGGAGGTCAGCATTAGAAGCTGAGGCGGAGAAGACAAAAGAAAAGGCGGAGATGCGACACAGTTGGCAAGATGCTAGAATCCAGGAACTGGAGCATGAGAACGACCAAGTCAAGCACCAACTGGCAAACTTGCAAAGGGATTCACAATGGAAGAACTGGATGAAGACGATAATGTCATAATGCCATAATGCCTGCCCGTCCTCCCGGCGAGTGCCGACTCAAACCCCCGAAGGGGTGAGTCAAGGTCTCAAACCGGGAGGACTAAGACAAGAGTAAAAAGCTAGCTACAAGAAAGGAAACGTATACAAAACAAAGTACAACAAAAAACGATGCAGCGAATGCAGACCCATGGGTATCGTCGCGATAAACACCAAATCAAATCCAAAGCCAATCCAAAAACTCCAATGCTCAAAATCGTGATGAGAGCCAAAACAAACGCCCAGTACCCAAGATGCATCTTCCCATGCTCTCGAGTTGTCGCTGAAAAACCAAATGCGCAACACCGTGTCGTGTGGAATCGTAAATGCGAAGTCGTGTCTTTTTCTTCCTCCCCTTCTAGTCGATAGAGGATTCTAGAATTATACCGCAATGAAGGACAAGTCGTCGTAATCATCAGAGAGCATGGACAGGTGGACGAAGTCCTCCTCGGCTTGCTCCAAAGCCACCTTATGACTGTGTGCGCGCTCCTCCCAGCCTAGGCTGATGCCACTGAGTTCGATAGCCGACATCTTAGGTCGGCCAGTACCATGTGCGTTCGAGATTTGATATGTTGGGTTCTCCTCGAGCACTGGGCTTAATGGCTCAAAAACGAGGAATTCATCATCGTCATCGAGGTAAAGCCTTTCATAGCATTTCCTCCAATTTCTGTCGACATGCTTGTAGGTGTCCAGACTGATCAACGTCTGGCGCACGTTCCATTTGAATGCCCAGCTGTTTTCGCGCTTGCGCAGCCAATGGTTCTCATTGTCGAGGGCTTCGAGCATAGTCCTGAGCTTGCTGGGATGAGCGAGCGGGTCGTCCTCTTCCCGAGGTTGCTCGACTGGAGCGGCAATGGTCTCCATGGCGTGTCCTGCGTCGTTTTGCGCATGCTCGTCGGCATTGGCCAGGCGCTCTCTCAAAACCTCAATCTCCATCATCTGGGATCGATTCAGAGCCTGAAGATCCATGATCTTATCATGACGTGTCGTGAGCTCTTCTTGGAGAGCCTCGAGACCTTCGGTCTTGCTGGTAGCGTCCTTGATCTTGGCCATCAAGTGCTCAATCTCCAATTCTTTGGTGGCGATGACTTGCTCTCGCTCGTGAATCTTCAGAACGGTTGCACGATGCTCGACGGTAAGAGTTTGTAACTGGCGCACAGCCTCGTCGTCCTTCTTCCGTCCCGCCTCAACCTCCTTCGCCTTCTGAGCCCAGGGCGTAGGTCCGTGCTCGATCTCGATGGCTTTTGATAGTATGCCGGCTTGGTCGGCCCAGGAATTCAGATGGTAAGTGATGGTGTTCAGGTGGGCAAACATGAAAGCATAATTCTGATCGACATCGAGATTATCGATGTTGTCTTTGATCGCGCGAAGCTCAAGAGCAGGGACTGGCTCGGTGTCGGATAGGCTGGTGCACTTCGCAACCTCCTCGATCAGGCTGCGAACGAAAGCGGCAAGGGTTCCAGCAGCCGATGCCAGCTTTTCGTCGTATCTGAAAGCGTCCTCGAAATCAGATGGTCGTTCCGGAAACATATTATCCTGAACCAGAGCCTTCAGAGTCCGTTGCAACCTGGCCGCAGCCGTGGATGTAGCCTGCAAAGTATCGACTGGCTCGTTGAAATGAATGAGCATCTTTGCGCACTCTTCGCGTATGCTCTCGGGCACTTTCTCTAGGACGAAGTGTGCCAGATCGTAGATGTAGAGGATATAGTTTATCCTCGCGTGGAGCGAAGTCGCTATGGAGAGGAATTCTCCCTCTGGTCGTGCAGCAAGGACCTCTTGGTGGCTTGACAGAATTGCTTCATGTGTCTTGGTCGATCGCTCCAAGGACCCAGCAAATTCTTCAAAGTTGAGTGTGTCTGCTTTGAGAGCGTTGAGGCCTTGATCAAGAACCTGCTCTACCGAGATCAATTCTTGGTACGTCGGGCCAAAATTGGCGAATTCGGGAAGTGATAAGCCACGAATGGCAGACCAAAGACGGTTGCTTCCGTCTTTAAGGACCTCCAGGTGAACAATGGACTCTTCACAGACGAGTCTGGAGACGGCATCGTCCAATCGACCGCCATTGCTCATGTGACGACAGGTGCTCCTCAACACATTGACAAGCAGCTTGGATTTCCCAGCGATCCTTTCTGTTGCGAGGTAGGCTTGGAGAGACTCGCTTCGAGTGAACTCCTTGGACTCTGTCTCGTTCCAAATCTCGAGCTTTTCAGCAAGCTGATCTGCCTTGAGCGATACCAGCGAAGACTCAATCTCTCGTGTGGTCGACAACACAGTGGCTGCACGAAGTTGGCGGTTAAGGTCCATCACTTCGTTGAAGCGACCGGTGGTATCCTTGACTTGGGCTTCCGTCATAGTCTTGGAAGACTCAGCGTCGGCCATTTTGGTTTGTAGGTCCATGACGAGGTCTCGGAATTTGGAGATGAGAGACTCTTGGTCGGCGATGATGTGGGTCTGTTCGGTAATCTGGCGTACTTGCTCAGCGAGCTCGTTGTTCTTAGCGTCAAGCTCTGCAAGCATGTCCTCTTCTTGCTCAAGGTGTTGAGCTTCTAGCTCGTCGTTGAGTTCCCGTAGGTTCTCAAGATCTTGTACGACCAGATCTTGCTCCGCGATTCTATCTTGGAGATTCTGGTTTTGTTGGGTCAACTCCTCGACCATCTCCTCCCATTCATTGGCAGCGTCCAACTGCTGTTTCAGGTGGTCGACAAGATTTTCGGATACAGAGAGACGTTCTTGGAGATTGGCATTGTCTTGTCGGTAGTACTCAAGTTGTGCGACGTCGCCCTCGAGCCCGAGAATGTGTGCCTTGAAGTCTTGTTCCCGCTCCTCTGTCATCTCTTTCAGAGTGATCAACGCCTGTCGCATGCGATCATTCTCGTGTTGGAGACGGTAGTATCCAGCCTCTTGCTTCTGATCCTCTGACATTTCTGTTGTGAAGAGATCGGCCTCATCGCGAAGAATGTCAAGCTCCAGCGTCTGTTCTTCCAGGCGTTTGCGCAACGACTCGATTTCTGCCTCGGCTTGATCCGCCCTCTCCTCGGCCATCTCCTTGTCCACCAAGGCATCCTCCAAGTCCACCTCGTGGTCCTGGTGTGATCTGTTGAGAGCCTGTTGTTCCAACTGAAGTGTGTTCACTCTATCTTTCAGCTCTTGTATCTCGGTGTATTGAGCTTGACACTTGTTCTGGAGCCGCTGGATGATGCCGCTGTAGCGCTCTTTCTCGTCGCGAACCTGAGCATACTCTCTCAGGCGCTCTTGGTCTTCCGCGTGTTGCTTCTCGAGATGCCTAATCTTGGTGTGCAGATTGTCGACGTTGTTATCCCGACTTGCTTTGCCAGCATTGCTTGTGACTGAAGATGCAAGACTCGGTCTTGAGGTTGATGGTGTAGGACGAGAGGGTTCGGGACGAGAAGGTTCTGGGCGGGAGGATTCGGGTCGAGAGAATGGGGCGCGAGATGATTCAGCGGCAGAGTTGCTTGACGTGCTCGCCACGCTGGCCTTGCGGACTGGGCCACGCGAAGGCGGTTGTGATGTTGAGGGAGCTGCGACTGACTGCCGCTTGCTCAATGTGGTTGTCCTTGTAGTGGTTGTAGGCTTAGGGGCAACCACGCTTGATGGGCGGGCTCTGGGTGTGGTGGGTGGTGCCTTTGTTTTGGAGACCGCTCGTGGAGTAGGAGGAGCCGGTGCGGGGGCTGCCTCAGAGAGGATGCTGACAATGCTAGTGTCGCGGATGAACAGCCCGTGGAGAGGTGCGCAAGTGAAGTAACGCTCTCCGCGTACGGAGCCATCGTTCTTGCCATCAGCAGTTGGGAGTTCTATTCCCACAAATCGCCCCTCTGAGACGTGAATGGGGCCTAGGTAGCGGACGATGCCGTCTACACCGCCAGAAGTCTCGACCGTCTGGCCGAGCTTGAGATTGAGGGTAGTCATGGCTACTGGAGACTACCCAGGAGCAATGCTGAGAGTGTGGAGAGAAGCAGTGGCAGACAGCGTGGTGACTGAGTGCAGTGTGGTTACCTGACGCGACGCGTCGAGAAGCAGCTGCGCGTGAGGGGGAGAGCAATTGCGAACAATTGACTCAGCTGAAGTGTGAAGAGTGCAGAGCAGAAGAAGAAGCAGATACGCAACAATGCAGTAGCAGCGGCTTGAGAGTGTTGTGGTTGTGGGAAGTGGCATGGGGCAGCTGCAGAAAGTGTGGTGTACAGGTGAGAAGGGAGGAGCGAGGTGGCCGGCTTTTACGTGAGGGCTGGCTTGGCGCGGCGATGGCTCGGATCAAGGCGCTAAACCTCGGACGCGTCTCGGATGAGCTGCTGTTCGCGCTAATGGACCCTGAGGGGCGGGAGCACCCGACGCTAGCCCATCTGAGCGCGTTTGAGCGCGCTCAACCGCGACTTTCGTTTTAACATGACGCCCATGAGGCCACTTTCGCCCTTTCCCAGCCACCCTATACACAGATGGGGTAAGCCTTGAGGCAGTTTCCTGCCGGAAATCCGCAACCACGCCACTCGACGCGTCTGAGTTTTGCTACCGCGTACATTCCGTGTCACGCCTCTTGCGATGTTTATTATATAACAATGTTGTCCATGAGAGGTGTTCCTTTCTCATTTGATGTTCCGCTATGATTATACCGCCACCTGTTTACTGTTGTTTCTGAGTATCCTTGCGCGTCGTGCGCCCACATGTGCAAGATGCCTTCTACACCTGCGCGCTGCATCACTCTCAAGCTGCTGCTGCCGCCTTCTGCCTCAACATCGCAGATGCAAAGCCCTTAGTATCGTGCATATCACCGCCAACTATTTGCATATAGATGAATCCGTGCCTAATCAGCGTTAGATGTGTGTATGCATTATCTTGTGGTATATCACGCGGTGAGCTTACGAAGCTATGCACTCTCGTTGCAGTGCGCGATTTCATACATTCTATGCAAGATATGATATGACTACGCATAGATCCGCGGCTACCACATGCCAGCGCCCATTAAACTTG